ACGCCTCTCACGGGTGCTAAAGCTGCCAAATGTGTTTATCTAAGTCGTTCAGCTGTTCCAGATAGCTGCCAAGGCAACGGCATTTGTCAACGCACGCTGAGCTGCCACAGCTGCTTAAAACAAGGTGAGGAAAGTGACTTCAAAGGCACGATTAGGTGGAAATGTACCGTAACGTACAAAGTTTGTTTCATACAGTTATTGTAAGGGGGGTGCAGAGTGGGAGGAGGGGGGTTAAGGGGAAGGAAATTCTACTTTAAGTACAAACACAGACACAGGTGATGATATGTAGAGTGTATATAAAAATCATCTGCATGTAGATGATATTTTGATATATATATATATATATATATAGTTCACGTAACACTCTGGGATTACAGGGTGTAACAGTAAATCTGTTATATGAGTTTGGACAGATATTCATTGAAGATGTCAAAGGATAAAATGGACCAGTAAAACTAAACAGGACATACTGGCCTGATAAAAATGTTATCACTGGTTAGATGCCTGAGCTGGAGTCTGTCAGCTGGAGCCTGAAGAGTGAGGCTGATGGACAGTATTGTCTCTTGACTCTTAGTTACACTACAACAGGAGTGTGTGATCTGTCACTCCATCACTCACACCCTGCCGTGTCCTGCACCCTGTTAGCCCCTGGGGCTGTGGAAGAGCTAAATACCAGTGTAATTGTCCACTCAAGACACAAGCACCTTTGTAATGTGTTGTAGAACACCACCATTAACACAGGCCTGGGGCTGTGGAGACGTTAAACGGCCCGAGCAGTGAAGTTTATGTCCCCGCTGTCTCTCCTTTTCTTTTCATCTACAGACAACGCAGCTATACCACAGCAACATATCCACATCATATATAAACAATATCATCGCCACTATCAATGCAATATATATATATATATATATATATTGCATTGATAGTGGCGATGATATTGTTTATATATGATGTGGATATGTTGCTGTGGTATAGCTGCGTTGTCTGTAGATGAAAAGAAAAGGAGAGACAGCGGGGACATAAACTTCACTGCTCGGGCCGTTTAACGTCTCCACAGCCCCAGGCCTGTGTTAATGGTGGTGTTCTACAACACATTACAAAGGTGCTTGTGTCTTGAGTGGACAATTACACTGGTATTTAGCTCTTCCACAGCCCCAGGGGCTAACAGGGTGCAGGACACGGCAGGGTGTGAGTGATGGAGTGACAGATCACACACTCCTGTTGTAGTGTAACTAAGAGTCAAGAGACAATACTGTCCATCAGCCTCACTCTTCAGGCTCCAGCTGACAGACTCCAGCTCAGTTACATTCTCAAGCCAAGGTTCTTACTTAAGTAAAAACTTACTTTGGGAAATCAATTGTAAAAGCGTTGAGTTCTCCTTATTTTCCAAAGGTCCAGGCTGGTTCAGTATATACTGTATGTTCAAGTGTCTCCCCCCGTGTACCTGATCTAAAACTGTTCAAAACTTGAGCAAATAAAACGGAAAAAATATTTTCATTCATGTTCAGGATATGTTTTGTGAAAATTATGTTTCATTAAATAATCATATTTAAATTTTTAACCCATCCCATCATCCATTCACTTATTGTTCCTCTACTACAGTTTTTCCCAAACTTATTTTTAAAAGTCACAAACCTTTGCGACCCAAGTCAATAGACATTATTCATAAACTCCTGGAAAACATGATGCGAGATGACCCAAGAAACAATCTCTTGCGACCCACCTGAGGGCCGTGACCCAGTCTTTGGGAAACAATGCTCTACTACACAAACAAACTACAAAAATCTTTTTTTTGTTGTTTAGTTTTATGAAACACCTTCGATCTTGAAACACAATCTCAGTCCCTGGCATGCGTTTGTGTAACCACCTCCACACACACACACACACACTGCACCATAATCCAAACAAACGGCTGTATTCTAACCTCTGCTTTTTACAGGCAGTGACACACAGGTGAGTGAATGTACAGAGGTGAGCGATGTTCTCACCATAACAGTCACCAAACAAATAAACTCTGAACGCTGCTACATGACATGAAACAGCACTTCCTCTGAAACAAGGTCACCTCCTGGGTTAAAAGTTTGTTTACTTTAAGGTTACATAAATCCAAGAGAGTAGGGACACCTTTGACATCTACAAAACAAGTGTGTCCCCTGTGTGTGTGTTCAAGTGGCTATTGTACACTGGAATGTGTGTGAGTCTATGAACGGACTTACCTCATTATTCCTGTGTGTGTGTGAAATTTAAAGTAATCTGATCAGGGAGCAGTAAAGCCCATTTTGCACATGAAACAAAGAATCTCACTGACACCAATCTCTCTGTCATTTTTCCCAACTTTCTTTCCCCCAGTGGAGAGTGGGAACCTGAAACGACGGACTTTATACGCAGTAACTCACTTTGTTGTTCAGTACAGTATAGATCGCAGCGGGGAAAATCAATAGAATATCATCTAGAAAGATAGTAATGGATTTCTAACTTAATGGGCTCACACGGGTCTATCGATTAGCAGGATTAACATCTGCAATACCTCAACAATCTGATTTGCATTTAAATTACAGTACGCTCCGTGCTGACACCATTATAACAAAACAGACAAATATACCGCCAGCACAGCCAGCACTCGGCTACGACCTGCCGCTGGAATAAATCTCATATTTTCTTTTTTTTTTTTTTTTTGAAGTAAGAACTACATTAAAGTAAAGTTGCTGTGCTGACAGCTGGTGAACTTTGAGCAGTTTTTAAATTTTAAAAAGTCTAGACAAGGACAAAAATAAATAAATAAAGAATGTACGCTGTGCGCTTGAGGCCGTCTCCTGTAAGACTGAAACAGCCATAAGTCTTTTCAGGGCAGCTCATCTCAGCCGCCCTGGTTAGAAGCAGAGCGAGTGTTTGTGAAGAAACAGCGTGAGGGTGTGTGTGTGTGTTTCTCTCTGTGTGTGTATGGTGTATATACTGTATAAGAAGGGGGTGAGGTGAGATGTTGGGAGGGCAGAAAAGGTGGGGTGGGAGTTTGATGGACTGCGCTGTCACCTCCCGCTCTGCGATTTACGGCGGCGGGGCTGCTGACGAGTGTGGGGCAGTAAACAGGCCGGCCGGGGGCGTATTTCACAGGGAGCTGGCTTTTATGAAGAACACCAGGACGGCTCTACCCACAGTTCCACCCGGCCCGCCGTGACGGATGGAGAAAGACGCATGACAAGCTTCATCATTGTTTGTAAATCTTAACTGTTCCCGCTCACTAACTCCAGAAGGCAATTTTGCGGAGACAGCGAGGTCTGTGGAAGGGGAGGGCAAAGTGGGGGGGAAGGAGGTGGAGGGAGAGGAGGAGGAGGCAGAGAGGGGAGAGGAGGGGAAAGGACAGCATGCCACTCCTGAAGGTTATTTGGCCAAGTGATTAGTCCTATCCACGGAGAGAGATAAATCTGACAGGCTGTTGTTTGGCAGCCGGGTAGAAGGAGAGGCCAGGTAGACTCAGACTCAGACTCAGAGCTAACTCCTCTCCACCACTGTATCTGAAAGTACACAATGTGTCTGCTCAAATCAAATACTTTAACTTCTTTGAGAGAATTAGAACTCTCTAACACACCACATGTTTATCACATAAACGTGGCTCAGCAATGTGAACGTTTATGACTCGAGTGATTCTGCACCAAAAAGCACCAAAAAAAAAAAAAAAAAAAAAATCCAAACATTTGCAAATAGTTTTTGTCACGGAAACTTAACTACATGAATCTATAAGTGAAAGCATCTGCTCAACTAATCTATTTGTCTTCTCTTTTATTGACTGGATGGATGGATTACCATTCCAATAATGAGAAGCTGTTAATTTATTACACACACATGTTAAATTAAATGGGGGAAAAAATGTTGCAACTGCCCATATACTACTGTGTGTTATAGACTGTAGGACGAAATACACTGAACTCCTAAATTGTGTTTCTGCCCTTTAAAAACAGTATTCAATACTTAAATACTAGGAGCCGTGCGTAAGTAGCTTCAACATATTGTATATTTACTGCTGTTAATTTAGATTAATGCCAGCGCATTAGAAAAACAAATCCATACACACTAGGCCAATAAAATACAGAGGTTTTCAATACTTCAAGTTTGGGGCAGTTCTGTGCTAAACAGCTGTTAAGTCTCTTCTCCTCATATGATGACTATTCATAGACAATAATACAGTATTGAAAAAAAGGATTAACATTACTGCGTCTTAGTCGTCATGCAGTTTTTTACTGTCCCATCATGAACAATTAGATGGACTAGACTACAAAGAAAAATTGCAAAAAAAAAAAAAAAAAAGTTTTTGGTGCTAAATATAAAGAATTCATCAGTGCAAACTAACAAGCATCTTATCTGTGCGTCTTCACTGTAAAATGGTCAAATTATTAAAGAGTTTAATTGTTCTTTGGATTTTCGAGCAGTGATCAGACGCAGCACGATATTAACGTCTTACAAAATAAAAAAAAATAAAAAAAAGTTGGACTCCTTAAAGAGAGCCTTTTCTCTACCATAGGGGTCTGTAGCAGCAAAGTGGGACCACCCGCTGGGAGTGTTGTTTTCTTGTAATGAAGCGTTACATTCGCAGCAGCAGGATGACATGGGACCCACACAGGAAAAGGACAGGTGAAAGTTATAAACAAATACAGGCAGAGCCAGAATGCAGGCTTTTGAGGTCAGTGATGCTGGTGATGACAGCAGACTATTTACCAAAAGAAGAAGCTTGTTGCTATGCTAATGACTGTCTTCCTCTTAAACTCCATATAGTTCTCTTTGACCATAAACTGCAATTTTAATCTTAAATAATTATTTTCAAATGTTATTGCAATGTACTGTATTTTTAAAAAAATATATCAAATATATTTCAAAACTGTATTTCCAAACAAAAATGTGTTTGGGTCGTACATCAGCAGGTGTGTCAGACAGTGACTGAGTGAGTACTTCACTTTCTAAAAAAAATGTTACAACAGGTAACAAGTACATTTCTGTGCGTCACTCACAGGCTGCCGTGGTCTCGGCGTAGTTGTTGTTACTGCTGTAGTTGCCGTCCTCCAGGTTGCAGATGGAAGGAACGTAGGTGGCAGAGCTGCGGCCTTGGGTCAGGTAGGAGGTTGCTGGGTAGTAAGAATGCATGCAGTACTGAGAGGGCATGTTGTGGCTCGGCAGGCAGCCATCACCATGAGACATCTGCTTTATACAAGAGAGAAACAAACACAGGCATTTTACAAATATAGGAATAAAAAACAAGGTCCTTTAAATCAGTTTCTCCAACTGTTTCTACTCTGAGAAAACCTTGATCTCTCTGACTACCACCATGATGACCAACATTAGAATTCCCCTGCTCGTTCGACATTCAACTTATAAGTGATCTCATGATTCCGTGTTGCGTGTGCTGAGGTGAGCAACAGACTTGCATTGCAGCAAGAAAGTAAATAAATAAATAAATAATGTATTTATTGTGCATGGTACCTGTGAGTGACACACAGAAATGTTACCTGTTACCTAACATTTTTTTTAGAAAGTGAAGTACTCACTCAGTCACTCTCTGACACACCTGTTGATGTACGACCCAAACACATGTTTTGAAATATATTTGATATATTTTTTTAAAAATCCAGTACATTGCAATAACATTTGAAAATAATTATTTAAGATTAAAATTGCAGTCTATTGTCAAAGAGAACTATATCACTTATTCCCGATCTTGAATCTTGAATCTTGATCTATCTTTTAGATTTATTCAGTTGAAAATGTAAATGTGAAAATGTGAATTTTCCCCATGTACCACTAGAGAGCTCTCGTGTACGTACCACAGTTTGAGAACCACTGCTCTAAATTATTATAATTATTATAAAGTTTGGAGTTTTAAGACTTCAGATACTACAATTCCCATCCTCAACTTGACCTTCTCTGTTGTGAGTCACTAATACCCTGGGTGCTTCTGTCTAAAGGTGCTTTTTATACAACTACAGCTGCTGCTCTTTAGCTAATAAACAGTCAATAGTGGATTAAAGTGTCCAGTTACACAGGACAAATTTAGCAGACACTAGCATCCTGACTCTGACAAACCCCATTCATTTAATTTAATTTATTCTCACAGTGACCCTCCATTCGGTGCCACCAGACCTGCTTTGCTTGCACATTTAACTGCTACAGTCGTAAACCTTAAATGTTTGTGCCAGAGATCCAGAAAGGAGGCGATGTATGCAATTTAGTGGATCAGCACGAAGCTGTGATTCGCAGTACTGTGCTGCAGAGAGAAGAGGCCACTCAAAGTACTGAGAGTACTGAGTGTATAAAGCCATAGTCAAATTAATCTAAATCTTTTATTTTTTAAATCTTTTTTTGTATTAACCATGCATATTCATGTGAAAACTCATGACAAAGTGGTTTTTTAAATTTTATTTCTCAACACTGCTGGCTAAAGTTACCCTGCTACACTGTTGCATTTTTATAGACAAGTTACACTGTCTCGACCACATGATGACAGGTACTGTACAAGGAGGCCAACAAACTCTGCATGTCTAACACTTATTGCACATTCAGCCATAAAAAATGTTTGGTTTTTTTTCCTCCAATCTGCATCGTCCCTACATTCCACTGTTGCAGTCATGTGACCCTAAAGTCACGTGTCTAAATCGGGATGTTGTGTTTAAGGTGTGCAGTGGCTTTGAACAGAATGATTTGTTTCATGCAGTGGGTGGAAAATAGCTATACTAGCATTAGCTCTTTGACTCGTAGTATAACAACTCGTACTAATGGATATTGACTCCAGAGATATACACAGACCCATTCTTACATACATACATATATTTTAAAAACCTGAGCTATTACATTATAAACAACATAAATACTTACACTCCTCCAAAGCACCCAATCACTTATTCACAGGTTTCACAACAACAGATTACAGTGGCCAGAAGAAATAAAGACGTAAATAGAAAATTAGCAGTGTTTGACTTCATAGGAGCGAATTCTAAAAATGGACTGTATCACACTTCTGTCGCCCTGAAAACTTCAGAACGAGCTGTCTACTCAGCAGCAAGGCCGCCTCAGCGATGGTTTTCAATTTCATTTTTATGGAATTTGATTTCTGTCACCCTGTAATACGTCACCCGAATTGTCCACACCATCAATTCTCCGACAGTTTTATAAACTGTTATTTAAGCTACACTCAGCTCCTGTATGAGGCTGTGAAAAATACAATAGGGATTGGATTGGAGTGGGTGCTGAGCCTGTGGGCCGCATGTGCAGCACCTGACGCTGGCCTCTGAGAGCAGCAGTGATCAGGGTCAGAGTCAGTGGCCCTACAGACAGGCAGAAGCACAGAGAAAAAGGTAACAGCACTGATCTAAATTGTAAATTTATTATAGTAGAAACAGTAAAGTAATAGTGTAGCAATAGTGCATCAAAAACTCTGAGCATTCTTTAACTTTTAGGCTAAATTTTCTTACGGAAGTGGATAAAACAGACAAATATTATGGTCATAGTGGTATTAGGTCTTTTTACACATATCTACACTATAAGTACTAGAACTTTTTTTCATCCTTTAGCTGGGTTTTTGACTAAAATATATAACTTCCTGTTTGTTATTTTCACACTGACAGCCACTAGAGGGCACTCTAGGCTTGTGTACTAGTATCTGCTACCCCTGTACCACTGAAAATTTACGTTCATTATTTTCACACTGAATGTCGCTAGAGGGCACTAGTGTGACTTATACTCCAGAGTGACTTACTGCAGTGATTCTCAACCACTGAGCCGTGGCACACTAGTGTGTCGTGAGAAATCATTAGGTGTGCCGTAGAAAAGTATCCAACTTCACTTAATTGGGCTGAAAACTATATTTAGTTATTTTCATATAATTTTTCTTTGCTCGTCAAAGCATGAAAGGTAGAACAGTTAAATGCTCTTCTGCTAGGTGGCAGCAGATAGCTATGAAAATGAAAAAAAAGATAAATCAGAGCTGTTGAAGATCATTGGGTCTTTCTTCAATTCCTGCCAGTATATCAGCGTTGTCTCCAACTAAACAGGCCAAATTTTTTAGCCAATTATGAGATTATTTAGACTATAAAATTATTATATTTCATTAATACATTTTGTGAGATTTGTGTTTGGTGGTGTGCCGTGAGGTTTTTCCTTTGATATATATGTGCCCTGGCTCAAATAAAAGGTTGGGAAACACTGACTTACTGTATATATGTTTTTTCTTCCTTATTATGCAATTTTTGGGTGGTGTGACTTATACTCCTGAAAATACAGTATATATATATATGTAGCTAGAGCAAAGACTCTGCTATGTCATTTAAATCGCAACACCACCTTTGTCCTTTACTATATATATTGTTTTCTTCACAAAAAAATGAATAACCAAAAAGTTCCATCCCTGACTGACTTGGTGACTCCTGGGGGGCCTTCTGTACCTCCTGCAGAGGACTTTTATCAGTCACCATCTCCCATCTGGAAGCTCAACACTAAACCCTGATATCATTATCGTCAACCTGCATGACAGCCAAGCCTGAGTGAGAGCACAGCAGAGGAGAAGAGAAGAGACGAAGATAACTTCACACTGATAAAATTAAAAAAAACACTGGATTTAACTTCTGAGCTTTGGTTTATCACAGCAAAGTGATATTAACTTAATAAAATACTTAATTATATTTGAATTTAAAATAGAAAAGAGCATTATTATTACTAATAATACTAAAAAACATAGTGTGAAGCCCAAGGATAATAAGTTTTGTTTGGACCATTTTACTGTTGAGGTTTCTGACAGGTAGAGGAAACCAGGCAGAAATAAACTATCATCAACCGTATTTTACTGCTTCCTTACTTACATCCAATATGTCAATGAATCAACAGCAGTGTCATTTGAATCTACATCATTTTAGCACAGAAACTAATCTTGAAATAATCAGCTCTTGATGCACACACAGAGGAGGCCGCTTGGATTTGAATAACCAGAAGACACAGCCCTCTTGACCTGACAACTTCACAGGGAATACCGTAAATCACTGAGGAGGATGGCCAAATTATGCTAAAGAGTGCTAACTGATTAGCATTAATGTGCTCACTTTCTCCTTCGAGCGCTGAGGCATATCGGTTTGTTCTTCTGCCAACAGACAATACCATTAACCTTTGCAATTCAGGCTCCGCTGTGCGCTGGCGGGTGAGCGTAGGCAGTGACCCCAAAAGTAGATGTTGCTATTGAGAGGCGTGTGGACGGGCGGGTGGGAGCCAAACGTTCTTAATAAAAAAAAAAACCCACCTCATCAGAGGAGACAGTTGAGTTATAGAGCTAATTTACTCCGCACACAGGCTCATCTCATTCGACACAACAGAGATACATGAAAACATAAATCAGTGGGAATATTCCAGTGGCTGAATGACGGAGTGTGTGTGTGTGTGTTCACGATTAGGTCACATTCATCCATCTCCATATGGAACAAAGAAACACAAGTGTGAATAAATGACAAACAGATGAACTTCTCACGCCCAGGAGGCTGTTCCATCACAGTCATATCCAGGTGTTAATATCTCAGTTTAACTACATGTCAAAAATGTATCTGATGTCATTGTCATTTTCCATCACACTGTATTTGGGAGATATTTGTCTTTTCTCTGCTCTGTTTTTCTACATCACAATTAAAACATGCTGACACAATTATTTATTTATTAAGCAGAAAAAACATGAATATGTTGTTTGTATATCGTTAGATAAACCTCTTAACAGCAACACTGTAATGTAGCTAAATTACAAAACGTTTAACTGTGAAACCCACAATGATGTCATATTTGTTGGCCTTATTTTGTTGTTGTGTTTATTATTTATTATTATATATTATTATATATTATTATTTTTGATTTGGTTAGCAAGCAAAAGTGTTTGCACAAGGTGCTAACAATTTGTTCTTATTAAAACGAATGGTAATCATGGTTTTTTAATTAATTAATTTTTTCCTTATAATTTTAAACAAGAAAGTTTTGTCCCTCATCTGATCTCTTGTGTAATTACTGCAGTTTGTTCCACATGTGGACCTAGTGTTTTTTTTCCGTATACTAATGGGGTGATTTCTATCACTTTTCTTGAAGACCCGTAGAGCAAACACACACACACACACACACAGTAGCACACATGCAAACAATTGACACCACTTCATCTCCTACTGTCCATAAACATCCGTCTCTTTTACCATACAGCTGCACTGCTTTTGGCTGTTTTTTTTAACTCCTGCTTATGACTCATGTGACTGGTCAAAAGCTAAAAGATCCATCTTTCAGTTTAAAAGCCATCAGTCTGCGTTGGCTCCAAAAGAACCATTTCTCTTTTACACCAGGAAAATCTTCTACCACATCTAAACTCACATCTGCTGATGATGTCATTACATTGAATTTATATATATATGAATTCATTTAAAAATATATATGTATATATATATTCAAAATATATATATACATATATTTACAAAAGCTAACAAAGCACACACAAGCTCTTTTGACTGGCACTATATACATAACTATTAATGTGTAACATACCAAGGACATGGACCAAGGAATGTACATACATTTTAATATATGTACACATAAATGTACATATATATACTAATATATATATACACTCAAATGTATATATTTACTTTGGATAAAAGTGTCTGCTAAATGTAATGTAATGTATTACAAACCAGAAAAGTGTAATTACTACAACTAAGACTTTTCAAACCCTAGTTATACTACTAGTACTAAGAGAGCACTGCTGCAGCTTTGGGATTAAAAGGAAAACTCTGAACCAAAGGCAAAAGCTAAACTAAAAATAGAAATAAAGAACACACCAAACCCCTCAGTATTTGGATTTAAATATTTAGAATACCTCAAATAATTGTACAGTAAGTAAAGAATAATGTGAATTAAGAAAACAAATCTCAGTTTGCCATTGAAGGACGACATAATAAAGTATCAAGCAGAGAAGAAAGGGAGCAGTGGTGCAGCAGGAAGATGCAAAACCTTTTCAGTTTGAGGCTCCTCCATCCACTGGTAATCTGATCTATTTGTCCTTTGTCCTTCTATCACTGCATTCTCAAATTAGAGATGAGACCTAATACTTCCATGAACTGTTTATAGCAGGAACACACACCTGGTATTGCTGATAGTTGTACAGGTAACGAGATGGTTGGTAGATGTTGTAATAGGGGGTTTCCATCTGAAGGTCAGACGATCCCTCATGATGAGCCCTGCTGCTCCCTGGAAGGACAGAGGATGAAGATGAGAGAGTCTCTGGACAGAGGACTAAAACCAAAAATGAACACACTCATTTTGTAAGTGTGAGTGTTGGGATTTTAAGCATACTGATACATTTGGAAAACACATTTATATAAGTTTGTTTTGGTGAATCTACTAGTAAAGATGATTGATTTAGATTTTTACATCTAAAAAAATTTTAAATTAACTTAAATTTTTGATGTTTTACCCTAAATGTTTTACTAGCATTATGATGAAAGAGTTTCAAAAACTTTGTGTAAGTCTATAATCAAACTGCTGACAACAGCACCATCTGCAGGTAGCGGATGCAGCCTCCACCTCTGCTCACACAAATGTATCTTTCTGCACAAAAGACCAACCGTTTTATTCATCATTTTCAGTTATTAGGGAACTCTTGTACTTTCCTTATCAACAGCACACTTTCTCATGCAGACCCAGCATTTTTGGCCTCCGTCAGTGACGACAACATGGACTCACACGGCCAAACATAATGACACTTGTTGTTTGTTCTATCTTCTGTCATCAGTAAATCACACTGTGCTAGACTCCCTTTTCCATCTCGCTTTTTTCTCTCTGTTGATCCGCCAGCGACCCAGAGTTCAGCCTTTTGGTCAAGGCTGCCCAACACGCAACCATCCTCGAACAAAGCCGATATTCTGACTCCCTAAATTTTTTATCAGGCCGAGAGGGAACACCATATCTGTGCTGGGCTCCTTGTGACGGGAAAACAAGAGAAGAGGCAATTAATCCTGGTATCAACAAATGTAGTTTTTAAAAACTTTTGTCTGGCATTATTGTCTGGTCTTCTCCCACAATCTGAGAACCTGAAGACCTGGGACAAAAATTTGTGAAGGACTTAAAAAAGACCGTAAGTATAAAAAAGCGTGTCAATATGAACATTTGTCTCTGCAGATAACCTCAAATGGACAAAACAGTAGATGATAAATCATTTAACAAATTATTAATAAAATAATAAATGAGTGATTACAATTTTTTTTATCTTATTTGTTTGACAATAATATGTTAATAGTTAATATATTTAACTAATTTGACTGTATAAAAACAAATAAATCTAATATAATATTCACTAGTTTGACCACTGGCTGTAATGGAACTTAAATTTATGATTTGACATTGTTTTGACCTGATGACAGGGTAAAATGTATATATTACACAATGTTTAAAAGCAAAGATATCTTTTGGAGGAAGGCATCAAGATGGCTGTCATCACACCTCTATAGGAAAGAACATTTATTAAATGTATTATGAAATTATACCTTCAAAAGAATCCACAAAAAAAGTACCACTGTGTTACATTAACTTTTCTTTTAGGTACATTTTTTTACCATGTGCAGCTCTGCCATACACAGGAAAACTGATCTGGACTGCAGGCAGGCCAGTCAAGCATGTATATGTCCATTAAGAAACAATTTTAAAAATAGTGCAAAGGGCATTTTTCTGCTAAAAAGTCAATATTTCTAGAGTAACCTTTCATCTTAAAAAGGAAAACATATATTTCTTTAATTTTCTTTAAAAATAACTCTGAATATAATAAAACATAAAATATTATTGGGCCAAAACTGAAGAATGGATCAATTTTTGTAAGTTTCTAAGTTAAGGCAATAAAGAAAGGTAAGGTCTGACCTTGGCCAGCATGCACATAAGTGGAGGTGCTGATGGAAGAGGGCATGGATCTCCCTTCCACAGGGAGCAGGCAGTCCGCTCCAGACTCACTCTTGACCATCACTTCAGGCCCATTGACAGCAACTGGAGTACAAATCCCAAGTTCTTCCTCCTGGGCCTGCTGCCTCCTCAGGGCAACCTGAAAACCAATGATAACTAAGCCTTAAAGTACGCTGGAGCAGAGTCTTTGTCAGAAAAAATAAAACAATAACCAGACTTCACAACACAGCAGTCATGACTTCAGAATGTGAACATGATCCACACACTGGGCCTGTAGATTTAAAAAGATTATTAACTGTGATCTACGCTGTGTCTGAAAGTCAGTGTTATATTATGTATTATTAATATCATTTTTTCTTATACATATATTTCATTTTTAAATAAAATATGTGTATCTCACAAAACCTGATTATAAGCTGTAGTAACTGATTTTTATTATTTGCAAATTAATGTTATATCTGGTGGATTTTTCTATTTAAAATTGTTTTATTGACTGTTTATACAGGTGAAGGACCTCACCCACCCCGCAAATGATCTGTTTGCCCGCCTCCCCTCAGGAAGACGGCTACTGAGCACCAAAAGCAGGACCACCAGACTGAGGAACAGCTTCTTCCCTGAAGCTGTGAGACTGTTGAACTCTATTGAACTGCTATTAATGTTTATTCCATTTACTTTTATAAATTGTGAAAACACTTCACCTTTTTCACTCGTGTCTGTTTATCCTTTCACTTTGTGGCAACCCGAAAAAACTAATGTTGCTAATTATGGTGAATTGCTCTACAGCATACATACATTTATGTACATATATATATGAATATATGTAAATATATGTGTATATATATATAATTTATCACTTTTTGCAATCGTTTCTATCGTTGTTTCGCAAAAGAACTCTTGTGTCGTACGTTATCTTTTGTATATATGTATGTATATATAAATTAATTAAAAAATGTATAAATATACGTTTTTACTGTATTTATATCAAACATATTCATACGTATTCAAACAGTAGGCGAAACAAACAGCAACCTCGACATTAACCGCTCTGCCATATTTGTATAACAACAACAAACAAAAACAACGAAAACTTTTTCAGAATGGTTAATTAATTACCATTAATTACAAAATGTTACAGGTTACTCGGTGTGTTTACTGTCGTCACAAAAAGTGTTAACTTGCTGCATTAAAAAAAAACATCTCCTGAGGGCTAAGCGGCGCTAACAGGTGGACTAACGGTTACCTGCGCCGCCATGATTCGCTGTCTCTCCGCTATGAGGTTACACTTGTCACAGCGACACTCCCTCCAGTCACAGTAGCGTTTGTGGCCCTTCAACGGAGACACGAAGCCGTGGTTCCTGCAGCGGGAGCACTTGGGCGTCCTGGGTGGTCTTCGGCCTTTGGATGGGGACTGTGGTCCAGTGTAGTCAGGGCGCTGCTTGTTCTTGTTCATGGTCCTTGTCTGTGGGAGTCTCGGGACTTCAGCCACGGAGTTCGTGCTCGTCCCTGAAGACAAGGCTACTTAAAGTCTGCTGCGGTGCCATGGGTTGCAGCTATAGGTCAACCTTCTCCCTTTGCCCGCCCTGCTACTGATACTGCTACTGCTACTGTAACAATATTTGAAGTTAGTATCAGTATCAATAACAATATCATTTTTTATCAAGTTTTTAAAGAAGTGTATACAGCATTATTCCTGCTATTTATAAACAAACAATGCGTACCTTTCTCTTCCTTCCCTGCAGAGGGCGATTTTGCAATGGTACTATGAAAAAAACATTTTAGTAGATTTTCAGAAAACTTAAATATAGGATGAGTAATAAAAAGGGTTAAAGTTAAATACCACAGTATTTAAAAGCATTTGTGGAAAAGGTTTATTTAGTTTATTTATTTATTTATTTACATGTTTTTGTTGAAGTTAATATTGACTAAGGTCGTACATATAAACTGTATGACTGTCAGTTGTAATTGTGTTTTAATATCTGTGTATCTACTCCTAGAACACATTCACTGTAGCTCTCCTTTTCTCAACAGCTGCACACTGAGTTAATTGAGCTGAAACTGAATTAACCTTCGTGTCAGTGAACCAGTCAGGCGAACGGATTTACAGGCAAGCGAGGGAAGTGATGTGAAACACACAGAGGTCCAATTAAAATAAGTGCACAGAAATTGAATTGCGGCGTGAAGGTGGTCACTAATTAAAAGCCTCTCGTTACATGACACTTAATAATAAAGCCCAGTTAAATCACTGCTACACACTGCCGCTGTAAGTGTAATTATATTGCGTCATAATGACAGATTATAATGTGGTTATAAAGTATGCAATTGACCACGTATAACATTTCTGTTAGTCCTTCTTTTAACTCCTCCTCACACCAATCCAGTCCCAGGCTGTGAGTGTAAAAGGTAAACACTGTTTGTAGGCAAATATGAGGAACCTGTTACAATAGCGTGTATTAAATAACATAAATGTGAAAGCATTCCATTAGCACACTGTAATAGGTTACACCAGCAGAAAGTTTTAATCATGTACAGTCCTGCTTTTATTAAACCAAAAAGATAAACATCATTTTTGGTTTTAATGCTGATAGATTACAAAGTATTTGTACATTTTGTGACTAAATATTTATTGATTAAGTTCTATATTGTGGTTTTATGTCCCTACGTCCCATGTTGGAGACCAAATGTGGCCTCAGTTGTCAGTGGTGTATGTAAAACCAATGTTATCACATGATGGTCCTTTGAGACCTTCGACTCAAAAAGGCAAATATCATTTTCAGACTAGTGCATACTCAGCATCAACATATTGACTTGATTACCATGTCTGAGAATAATAATAATAATTTTAAAAAAGACAACAAGAAGCCAGTACACCTACAGACCCCATGTCTTACATCCACAGTCTGACCTCCTGTTTTTTGGAAGGCTGTCTAAAAGCTGAACTCTCTCCCTGTAATCTCTGTGCTTCCCACTCTTCAGCTCCCTGCCATTCCGGCCCTCCCCAGCTCAACAACCTTCACATACCAGTGGATACAAGAACACTGTTAAAAACAGTAAAGACTGCAGTAAGATTGCTGGGTGAATTGCACTGCTACCTAACTGACAAAAAACTGTGGTAAATTCCCTTTATATTTCATTAAAATATTTTTACATGAGTATAAAATATATTTTAAAAAAACATCACTTACTTTTTGTTTGAGGAGGGCAGTTTTGGGTCGCAGTGTGATCGGCGGTTTGGCGACATCAAGCGGTAGATTAGATTCATGCCATTCATCCTCCACCGAGGAAAAAAATCCCTGCAAAGTAGCATCGCTTAGCAACACCGCAACAAGGTCGGCTCCCGAGGTTCTTTCTTCGCCGAGACTGCCTGGTATTCACTTCGAAAGTGAAGATGCCTAAAAAGAAAGAAAAGAAAGGGAGTGACAAAGTAGAAGAAGAGAAGAAAAATAAGCCAGAAACAAGTGGAAGTGAAGATAAAGACAAAATTCTGTATCTGACTCACATACAATATTTGGACGAGCAGCTGGAGAGGTAAAGAAAAAGATTAACTCTACGTTAAAACTTTCTCTTTTAAATGTTTGCAAAGTTATATTGAGGACAAAGTATTCTTCAGTAATGATTTAGTTTCTTACAATTAATTTTATTTCTTGTGACAAAAAATACTGTAACTTTATTTCAACGCATACGTCATTTTTGTCGTTTTTTTCAATATTAGCTTTAGCTAATTAGCCTTTAATTCAAAACATTTTTAGTTATTTTCATACGTTTTAAAAAACATTTGTGTTGTCATTCACTTTATGGCAGTGTTTATGTGTCCGTGACTCTCTTTGGTTGTTTTTTTATCTCTTTATTGCTCTTTTTGTCTGTTTGTACTCTTCACTCTTAAAATTCTGTCCAGTTGTTATATTTTTATGGCATTTTGAAGCTTTGTATCCTTTGTCGACTATTTTTATTATTTCGTTGTCTTTTAAAGTGAAATGTTGTTTTTATTAAAACACTTATTTTTTGTATAATTTCTGGTCCTTCTATTCTATTTGGTTTTTTTGTTTTGTTTTTGTTTTTTATTATTATTTTATTTCTATATGTTTGTGGTAATGCTGTTGTTTTCGTCAGGTATCAGCTGAAATGCAGTGAATTAGAGAAGCAGAAGAAGCTCTTTGATTTCCAGTACGAGGCACTGGAGGCAGAGAAGAAAGACATCACTGACTACCTGAAACGCTCGCTGCTGGAAAAGGAAGATGAGGTGGAGGAACTGTTGGAGCGTCTGGAGAGTCTGCGTCAGGCCACTGACCAGGAGAGAGATTCTCTGCAGCTGAAACAGGACCAGATGAGGCAGGAACATCAAGAAGAGATTGTAGAACTGACCCGGGAGAACCGTAAACTTGGTGAGACCTTGACTTTTGAGTTGTTCTGTGGTCGACTTTAGGTCAAAGTTCAACACTTTTTGCTGCTGCACTTTAGATTAATGGGTATTTATCTTTGTAACTTATTAACACAGGAAGATTAAGAGGAAATAAACAAGTGATTAATTTTACCATAATGCAGAAACCCTCATTATTTAAACATTTAATATATATGTATGTGTATATGTATATATATTTATATGTATATACGTATGTGCATATATGTATATATATGTTTATGTATACACATACGTATATACATATAAATATATATACATATACACATACATATACATATATGCACATACACATATATACATATAAATGTAATGACGGTTTACCTGTCCTCTCTCCAGTGACCAGGCTGGCTAGTCTAGAGGAGTTTGAAAGTCAGAGGGAACAGCTGATGTCCAGTGTGGAGTCACTGGAGAGAAGGCTGGCCAGTGAGACAGAAGATCACAGGTCAAACGTCCACAGCCTGGAGATGAAAGCACTGCTGCAGAAGAAGAGGTTGGTTTTTGACTTCTGACCTGTTTGCAGAGACATCTGTGTGATACCATTTAAATACTGAACTGTGCTGGACTTGGCATTGAGTTTATTCCAGGTTGTCACTGGTTCAATGGCTAACTTACTTTAAGTTTGACATGTTTACATCTCTGACGTCACATGCCTCCTGTGCTCCTCCTGGTTTTCTCAAAAAGTTTTGAAAAAGAGATGGAGAGCCATGCAGCAGCCATGGAGGTGGAGGTGCAGAACCTGGTGAACCAGAAGGTTCCTGAAATGACCAGACTCACCCTTCAGGAGAACACAGAGCTCAGGGAGCAGTTCATCCAGCTCACAGAACAGGCCCAGGTGCTGCTGACGGAGAACTCAGGTCTGAAGAGTCATGTCAGTCGACTGACTGTTGATGTGGAAAACCTGGAGCAGATGCTGAGTGAGGTGTCCCGCAAGGCCTGCATCCACAAGAAGGTGACGGACATCAAGACACAAGCTTTCATTAAAGTACTTCACCAGGATTCACCGTAGATAAGAGTGATGCTTTCTGCCACCAGGTGGTGGAGCAGCTGACGGAGAAGTGTCAGCAGCTGCAGGAGGAGGTGAAGCAGAGCAGAGAGGAGAACCAGCAACTTCAGAACGAACATGACAAAATTCTAAATGAGATGAAAACACTGAGGTCAGTGGCACAAAAATGTGTCCAGATGTGAACTGGAGACCTTTGTCTTTGACCTTAGACAGATTGTAAAATCAAATTTTTTGACTTCAGACAAGACGAAACATCACTGTCTGCTGAGTGCAGTGCAAACAAGACAAAGGTGAAGCAGTTGGAGGAAAGATTACAGGTGGTGGAGGAGAAGAAGACTCACATGAAAAATGTCATCCAGGAAGCAGCCGACATCCTCAGACAAACTCTGATGGTGAGACAATAGACTCGAGCCTCATCCTTTTGAATCAGGACCATCAGGGGAGAAGAAAAAAATACATGTTTACTGACTTAAATGTTAATAAAAAAACAGAATAAAAAGCCAAAGAAAACTTGATCATAAAATTGAAGAATGAGAATTGAGCTGATATAATATTTAAGTAAATGGTAAGTAAGTGGTAATGGACACAAAACATTTACTCTTGACTATTTATTTTTTGTGTGATTTTGCCAAACAAAAGGACAAACAAAAAACCTTTTTAACGCAACCCTCTGCTTCCTGCAGGAGGCAGCAATGGAGCAGAACCCAGAGGAGGACACCAGCGTCCTCCAGTGGAAACAGCTGATGCAGAAGCTTCTGGTGGTTCTGAACAAAGCCACATTCTCAGGCCTCTTCAGTGAGAAAGTGGACGAGCCGCAGGCGTGCAGACCTTCAGCAGACGAGTATAAAACCTACTGTCTTCATCAAAACTCTGGACCAGGTCAGCCTGGACCCAATAGCAAGACCTGACATTGTTCTGGACTGATCCTGTCCCTCCTGTTGTCTCTCTCTCTCTCTCTCTCTCTCTCTCTCTGTCTGTCCTCACAGAAAAACAAATCTTGGTTCATCTACGAGTGTTCGATTTGAACTGGCCCGTCACAGGCCTGGAGACCTGGGCTTCGTCCCACCTGCTGCACCCAAACACTTCCTGACCAAGACAAGACACAGACTCATCCTGCCTTTGTCCAGGTTTGTCCCAGTGTCTGAACTCAGTCTGTGTCCATGCTCCGTCAGTGAGTACTTTAGTTACTTAATATTCAGATACAGTACCATCAGTACTGTATGACAAGCATTAATATAACTAAGAACAAAGTGTACAATGATGCAGTACTACAACACACCCACACACTCAAAAGCAAAGCATTGATGGGAATCAGATTTTTCCTAATAACACTAGAGGTACCCCAAGTATCACCAGTCGTGAAATGTATGGTTGTTGTTTTTTTTAACATCACGGATTCACATCTGTATTAAATAAAAACATGTTTTTTTTCTGTTTGTATAAATAATGTTCACACATTTGGCAGATATTGACATTTTCACAGCTACAATAAAAAGATGATCCTGTGTAATAGTTTAAAAACCAGGGAAAAACACATTTAGTCATAGAACTAGGTTCACTTTAATACAAAAACATATTTTATAACATTCTGTGAATACGTTAGAGGGTACTACTGTTGTAGAAGACCTCTGTGACTTTAGATTTCTGTAGTTTAGAAATGTCATTACTTTCAGTAAATGTGTGTTTTCACTGTTGTTATTCAATACTTAACATATTCTGTTCTGCCCTCAGGAAACCTCCTGGTGAGAAAACGTCCAGCCTCATCAACTGACCGACTGAGTTAGGAGAGAATCAGACTCAACACCTTCAAACTGTCAGTTAACAAACTTAAAGAGAATCATTTAAATGAACCACAGTAAAAGTTTGAAATGAGCCAGGAAATAAAAGCAAGTTTTTAACAATTCTGTTCTTAATGCCTGTTTGGAGACAGGGCAAGAGTAAACACTGGCTGTACTTGACTGTTGTCAGCAGGTGGCACTGTGGACTGACTCTGCTGCAACTTCACAACAATACAGAAAAATTGTGAACAAATAATAATTTTGTGTAGGACAAGTGATTTACTGTAGTATTGGAGGAAACGTTTGATGGGATTTTAGGTCCACCAACTCTATGATGTTATAATTTTGATGTATCCTTAATATTTTCCTTTTTCTCTATATATATTATTCCATTATTTTGATTAGTTACAAATAAAACAAGAGTCAAACTCAGACCTGCTGGTATTTTGTGTCTGTAAAATATACAAGTAAAACACGCACCATGTTTAGAAATGTATCTTGATTAATCACAATATATTGCGATCAATTGTAATTAATCATTATTACAAATGGAGATAAAACATTTTTTTATTCTTTATTCCATGTTTATTATTATATGGCAGTGTGTCAGGCACTTCAATTCTCACTTGAAGCTGAAAGTCAGCGCCTTGATGACCACGAGAGCTGGACAGAAATATCAGTTTACACTGAAGACAAAAACCGACTGGACGTGAAGACGAAAAAAAAACAATAAACTAAACTCTACTTACCAGCGTATGTACAACGAAATACATATATCTGCATTTAAAACTATAATTTGATAAATATATAACTTCATGAATCGTTAAAGTAGCAGTAGGTAATATTCAAAATACTGTGATTCTTCTGTTTAAATAGATATAACAGGATTCAAAGAAAAGTAAAGTTTCTCCGGTCACAATCGCGACGTCTGTGTGTAAGGGTTCGTTACATTAATCTGAGCTGGAAACAGCTGGAAAAGTGTGACACGGACTGGTGGGGGGGGGGGGGGGGGGGCCCCNNNNATCTGCGTATACTGTCTACTCTGCTGCAGTCGAACAATAACAAAGGTTTGATGCTCCTGAATGATCAACACTAAGCTTTGGAAATCAAAAAAATGTCAATTTAGGCAAAAAGAAACGGAAAAAAACAAAACAACGTAACATACCATGATTGAGTGTCGATTAATGTTGGTCTAAACTTATTATCTGAGACATAAATATCTTAGTGAACCTAATGGGACTGGAGGCACCGGCTGGTTACATTCATATTCAAAGGACACTTTGGGTTTGTCGTGGAGGCCAACAGTTTGTTTACACGTGTTCATGAAATACTTCTAAATCTCTTGCGTTTGGACTCGAAGGAGAAGTCCACTCGTCCATCTGAAGTTAAGGCGGCATTCAGGGTGAACCAATAGCAGCACAGGGTTTGTAGGAAGGGGCGGGGTGACTAATCGAACATGCCTCTCTGCGTGGGACTGGGCGACATCTTTCTGCCAAGTCGAGGGGTTCCCTGGAAGTTACAGACACAGATTATTTTAATAACCCGGGATTAAAAGTAGGATTTTGTTGATATCTGTCATTTAGTTTGTGCAAATTGTTATACTTGTATTATACTTTCCCACATGTGACATTGTTCTACATTACTGATTCAATCATTTGGATAAGTCACAAACACAGAATGCATTTTGAAAAACATTACACAATTAATTGCGATTAGTTGTGATTAATTATGATCACAATTAATCATAATTACTCGTGATTAAAATTTTTCAGCAAAGTTTCCATGACCAGAAAATTGGTCATTGATTTTCCAGGTTTCTCATGACGTGATTGAGTGACCCTGAGGTAGGTCGCAAGAGATTTTGTTTTGGGGGGGGGGGTCGTCTCGCATCATGTTTTCCAGGAGTTTACAAATAATGTCTTTTGACTTGGTTCACAAAGGTTTGTGACTTAAAATATGGGTCCCCAGAAAAAACTGTTCTATAGAGTCTGAGGACAGAGTGAGGTTCTACTGTCTAGATGTTTTAAGACTTGAACATGAATGAAACTTTCTTACCGGTGACTGGGCTTTGGAGAAGTTCACATGTGCATAAAGCAAAACAGCAATGTCCTTGTGTCCTGCTTCCAGAGCTATGGACAGGGCATTACTCTCATCCTGGAGGAGTGAAGTTAAAGTCAAGATTTTATTGAACAGCAAACGACATCTGCTACGAATGAAGAGTTTCTTTAAAAAATAAATAAATAACTGAACGTCAGTCAGTTTTCACTCACGTTGTCACTCAGCGTGGCGTCGCAGCCTGGTTGAGCGAGCAGCAGTTTGACGATCTCCACGTGGCCGTGTTCGCTGGCGCACATCAGCGCCGTGGATCCTTCGTCGTCCTGGATGTTGACGTCAGCACCGTGACCCAGCAGGGCCTGGACCATGTCCATCCTACCATGACTGACCGCCAACATCAGCCCCGTCTGACCGGCCTGAAAGAGACACAGCAGTGGAATGATGATGGACGCAACTTCACCATAGCACACCAGGTGTGTCCAAAGTCTGGTCTGGGGCCAATCCTTGCACATGCAACCAACTTGTCTATTTTTATGTATTTTATATAATATTGGTCCACTTTGAATTTTTTTAGCGCTTCAGCCCTTGCTCATGTAGTTAAACATTTTTACCACTTGAGGTCACTCAAGTACAAAAAGGACTTCTTTCTGCTTAAGGGTGCAACTTAATTGACTTCTGCTTCTAAATCCCAACCAAAAAATATACTTTTAATGTAATTTTAAAAAATACTTAAGTACTTCATATTCTGCCATGTACTGAAGTTCCATGTACTTCAAATCTAAAGAATGCATGGAGGTAGGTTGTGGTTGCCCTTCCACTGCCTTTTGACCTTTGACCCTGGTCCCTTGTCACTAACCTGGCTGGCTCGGGCGTTGACGTCGCCTTTGCTGAACAGTTCCTCCACTATATGCATGTCCTTGGGCGTCTCCACGGCTGCCAGCGCTGCCAGCATGATGGGCGTGTACCCAGCTTTGTTCTGCTGGTTCACGTTACACATGTCTGTAAAAACACACACGCGCACACACACACACACACACACATACACAGAGTTTGGTGAGTGATTGACTTGTCACACTGTGTCCATCAGTCTGATCAATCACATCCCCCACCCCCCCCCCCCCCCACCCCCCATCTCCACACAGACATAGGAGCAGCAGCCTATTCAGACCACAAGCTCGCTAGAAAAGGAACAACACATCACAGCCTGGGTGGGATGGAGGTGGGTACGAGGGTGGCACTGAGGCCGAAGGAATTGGGACGGAGCGAGGACAAAGACTACAATAAGAGCAGGGGGGTTGATGTGTGGTCAAAGGAGGACAGAGGAGACAAAAGAGCCAGGAGACAAAAGGCTTAGAGCAGCGAGTGGTCAGAACCTCATCAGAGACCACTGAACCTTCAGAGGAATCACTGAGTGGACGTGAATCCAGGAGGAGAGAGAGTTTCTGGAGAAGCCTCTGTTGTTGTGCTCTGTGTGTTACTGATCTATACTATTTTTTTTTAATTGGTTGATTGACTTTACGTTTTGCTTTGAATTTTTAATCCGTCGGGGTAGAAAGGTTTCCATTTCAGAAATGAATCTCGTTCAGAACAACCCACAAATTCACCCTGTTATTACTGAGTGGGTTTGTTTTATTGCATTGATTGTCTGGCTCTTGGATTTAAGTACAATTAAAAAAAAACACACATATAAAATGATGAGAGGAAGAGAGAGGATTTGTTGAAGAGAAAGTACAGTGTGTTGAGGATTGGTTACTTAAAAAAAAAAACTTCTGGTCTGGGTTTTTTTGGGTTTTGTCTGATGAGAATGCTGAGAAATAAAACTGAGCGTCTGCTACAGTTTGGTAAATGGATGATTAATGTTGAGGCGAAAAACGCAATAAAAGAAGGAGAGAATCTAGACAAGAATTCTTTTGGGACCATTTGTCAGAACTGAACCAGACAGAGTGGAAGATTTGGTTTGAATTCAGTAGAAACCCACAGTCATCTCTGCTGTGAGGTAGCAGTTCATGTAAAGAGTCAGGATGTACTCTACCATCAGAGGAGGAAGAAACTATGGTTTAAGATTTTTAAGTTGTGGCTCTGGAACAATTCTTAATCAATTTTGAAAAAAAAATCTCACTTGTTTCCACGATCGTAATCAAACCATAACATGCCCAGACATTCCCACGGCTAACCCTGAACTACGGACGACAAAACTATCTCACCTGCTTCCAGAAGCTTCTTCACCACCAGGAAGTTAGAGTGGGACACGCTGTAGTGTAGAGCGGTGTTCCCGTTGCCGTCAGCCATGTTGACGATGTGGCGAAGAACGGTGGGGGAGACGGCACTGAAGCCCACCAGGTAGTCCTCCACCATGGTCGCCAGTGCCGCCTTCTGACTGGACACACGGAACCACTCTTGCTGCACCGTGTTCAGACAGGCTCTCTGGGAAAATGACCAACAGGTAAAAGTAGGTTTTAGCAATGATATAAAATATTTTTTATATGTATATATGTGTATATGCATACACATATACGTATACATATACATATATATACATACATACATATAAATACATATAGATATATACATATATATACCTACATACATACATATAAATACATATACATATATATACATATACATATATACACATATATATACATATACATACATATATACATATATATACATACATATAAATACATATACAGTATATACATATACATATATACATACAAATATACATATATATAAACATATACATACTGTATATATACATATACACATATATATATACACATGTGAGTGTATGTGTATATACCATGCAGTGTTCAGACATATATAGTTAAATTATTTTTTACATTTTTGGGATATATATTTTTCTTATATATTTTTTATATTTAAATATATATTAAAATATATTATAAATATTTAAATAAATGTAAATATATTTTTCTTGGACTCCTACCTCATGCAGAGTCATTGTATAAAGAGGAAAAAAAAATCCCATCAGACACAGGTCAAAGGAAACTGACTGCTCACCAGATCTTTGCTGCTCACGGCCTTGGAGTCACTGAGGTGAGTCTTGAGAACACTGCACGCAGCCAACATCTTCTCAGTCAGCTCATACCTTTGGAGGAAAATAAAATAAAAAATTAAAAAACATCTTATCACTTAATTGCTGCATTTAATAACATATTTATTTATTATTTTTATTCAAATAAATGTAGTCTATTTTCAAAGACAATAAAACAGATGGCAGATGTTGACCTCTGGTAAAATAATATTTTTTGGTTATTAATTAAAATAATATGTTTTTGTTTTTTTTATTCATATATTCTTCTTGACTGACTGACCTGTCTCTGGTTTCCTGCATCTCTGAACTTTCGTCCACGTCCTTCTTCTTCACCTCCTCTGCTCCCTCTGGCTGGAACTCCTCTTTGGGATCTTCTGCCTCCACATTCCTGATTTCTTCTTTTTCTCCAGACTCCTTCTCCTCGTCTTCGTCCTCTTCCTCCTCTGACCCAGAGGAGCTGCTATCCTCAGAGCTGGAGTCGTCGCTTGACGTAGTTTCATACCTGGGCCACACGGGGGCGATAAAGGCACAGATTAAGACATTTCATGGCATACATTCACGAGAGAAAAAAAAGGTTATTTATGGAACTGAACATTTACCTAAGTAATTCCATCAGAGAAGTAGAAGTGTTCTTCACAAATGTTCTTTTAGTTTAAAAAGAAATATATTGATGGCTCAACTTGTGGCAAAGATCCAACAATCTTAACAAAGTTGTTGGACAGATTCCCGACAGTTTTTGAAATCAAACAACGACAATTTATTTTACGCCTAAAGTCAACATGTCATCTCCCACTCACCCTCCGTTCACACCCACAAACTGCAAGTTCTTCTTGGTGCCATTTGAGTCTGGTCGGCCATCTTTCTTCTTCATGATGGATTTGAGGGTGTTCTGGCTGCATGGCTGCCCTAAGGGACAGACAGGTGAACAAAGCACAATCATTCAGACAAAAGAAGCCACAAAGAACCAACGGCAGAGGACACATGACCTTAGTCTGGAATTTATGGTTCAGGAAGGGGGAAAATAAAAAAAATACTGCCTCCAAGTTCACCATTAACAATAAAACAGTCTCTGCTGCTGACAATTTATTTATTACAAAATACTGCCTTGGTTTGTTACCAGTATTAAAAATCAGGGAAAATTGAAAAAAAATAAAAGACATTACGATAGCTACTAGAAATCATTGTTTCTGTCTGAACTCCTGGTGCAACGTTTCTAAAATATCACAAAGCATTATGGGGGATTTGTTTGACCTTCACCATACAAACAGGTGGTAAATGATTTCCCTGTTGATTTATCGCCAATTAATTAGCATCTTAAACCTAAGTTACAAATTTACTCTGAGATAGTAAAAAAAAAAAAAAGATGCATTTACTAAGAGTGAAGTTTCCATAAAACCTGAATTCTAAAACCAGATCTGAGACCAGATAAAGAGGTCTGGCTAGAGGACAGTAACCAGTAAGTGTGTGCGTCTCATGTTCCCTCCAGAGTAATCTGTCAATAAGACACTGGAAGTTGCCCCAAACCCTCAAGTATCTCAGTCATTTTAAGTACAGGCCTTGAAAACCCAAATTCCAGCCAAAAGATCCAGAAGACTCTGCGCATCTGCCAAGACTTGCCCTGACGGTGGGGCCTCTCTCACTGAGTGTGTGTTCATGTGGTAACATGTATGCAGTGGCCTGGGTTTGGTGTGAGTGTGAGTGTGTGTGAGTAAGTAAGATGAGTCACTCAGCACATTTCCCTTGTTTTGACAGGTGGGAGAGAGTGAGGAGTGTGAGGTGAGGAACTCGTCAGGCTGACAAAGGCAGCTGTGGCAGCTTTTCACTGGTTTTACTGGTTTATATGAGAGGAAGGTGTGAAAATCCAAAGATTGTAAATTACAGATTCAACCGTCTCTGGGGAGTTTTTGTTTTTGTTTTTTTCTCCAGGCAAAAGAATTCATATTAATAAACTCAAGCTTTTTACTGTGAAGGAAGTTGTTAGTTGGAGTCAGAGTAGAAGACACAGAGGACAGAGCAATATGGAAATCAATGATTCGCTGTGGCAACCCCTGCAAAAAGTCAAAAGAAAAAGAAGTTTGTGATACATATACATACATATATATATATATACACATACAGTACATATATATATATATATACATATATAAATACATATATGTATGTATGTATATATGTATATATGTATACATACATATACACATACATGCATACATATATACGTGTATATGTATATTTATATGTATGTGTATATATATGTATATTTATATGTATGTATGAATA